TGATGGTTCAATTGATAAATATAAAGTCAGGCTTGTTGCTAAGGGATAAAAGCAAAAAGAAGGCTTGGATTATTTTGATACTTATTCACGAATCATAAGAATAACATCCATTAGATTGTTACTTACTATTGCGGCATTGCAAAATTTAAAAATACATCAAATGGATGTTAAGACATCATTCTTGAATGGTGAATTAGAGGAGGAAATCTATATGGAACAACCTGAAGGTTTTATAATTCCAGGTAAAAAAAAGAAAGTGTGTAAACTTGTAAAATCCTTATATGGATTAAAACAAGCACATAAACAATGGCATAAAAAATTTGACAAAGTGATGTTGTCAAATAGTTTTATAATTAATGTGATAAATGTGTTTATGTGAAAAACACTCAAAATGGATATGTCATTGTGTGCCTATATGTGGATGATATGCTAATAATGACTAGTAATGATGTTATAATTAAAATTACTAAAAAGATGTTGACCAAAAATTTCGATATGAAAGATTTAGGCATAGCTGATGTCATACTAAAGATCAAGATTTCTAGAACATCAGATGGTCTAGTATTATCTCAATCTCACTATATTGAGATAATATTAGAAAATTTTAATAAAGAAGATAGTAGTCTTGTAAAGACTCCTGTTGATGTAAATCTTCATTTATCGAAAAATACTAGTCCTAGCATATCAAAACTTGAGTATTCTCGCATTATAGGAAGTTTAATGTATTTGATGAATTACACACGACCAGACATAACATACTCAGTTAATAAATTGAGTAGATATACAAGTAATCCAGGAAAGAACCATTGGATTGCAATAATCAGGATTCTAAGGTATTTAAGATATATCATAAGTTATGGATTACATTATTTTAGATATCCAGCAGTACTTGAAGAATACAGTGATGCTAATTAGATAACATATACGAAGGATTCTAAATCCACAAGTGGCTATATCTTTACTATTGGAGGAGGTGCCATATCTTGGAAATCTTCAAAATATACTTGTATTGCCAGATCCACTATGGAATTTGAATTTAGTGCTTTGGATAAAGCTGGTAAAAAAGCTGAGTGGCTTCGTATTTTCTTAGAAGATATTTCAAATTGGCCTAAACCTGTACCCGTTATATGTATACATTACGATCCCAATTTCTCTCAAGTGGGATAATCTCAATAGATTATATCAGGTCAAAAGATAATTTAGTGGATTCATTTACAAAAGGTTTGACAATAGAGCAAGTGTATAGTTCATCAAGGAGAATGGGACTAAAGCCGAAAGTTAACGAGTCATCTTAATGGAAACCCAACATAGTTGACCGGAGATCCCAAGATCTAGGTTCAAAGGGACAACAGAAATTCTGAATGGCTCACCAGAAGCACTGGGAAGATTTAATCTTCTACCCATTACTATGATGAGACAGTGCTACCTACAGCGATGAGTAGGATAAACCATGCTTTTAATGACTCTTATATCTTGAAAATTCAAGTGGGGTATAGTAGGATACTCTTAATAAGAAGTCACCTATATGAGTGTAAAGTAGGACTGCTTCTATGAGAACTTCTAAGGCTAAGTTTTCTAGAACATACCAGGAGTTATTCAGGGTCATATGAACACAACCGTGAAAACCGACCTTGTGCAGGAAGGAACTATGTGTTTGCTATTATCTTGGTTTACATCAACGGCTGAACAGTTCAAGACATCATGTTCACTGGTTAGCCAGTAAATCCGATAGTAATACACTAGGGAAGGTTCAAAGTCAAAAGCTTCCTATCGCGATGCAGTTACTTTCTAATAGTACTCTCTCTTGTGTCTGTATCTTCTTCATTTGCAATTTAGGCAAATTTTCATTCATGTGGGGGATTATTGGAAACGAGAGTATTAAAAATATAAACTTTGGATGAGAATTGGAATAGATTCCATTAATAATTTTTTGCGGATCTATAGAGTGCGTTCCTCTCCGCAATGTGTTATATTTACTTTCTTAAATCTGTTTCCGGGTGAATGAGAAATTAGATCCAAAGTGGGGTATTTGATAAGCCTAAATGGAAAAAATGTGAAAACCAATTGAAGTTTAAATAAGTTAAGCTTGGGCTTGGGCTTGGGCTTAATTGTAAAATCCGGTTATTCTTTTTGCTAAATGGAATTTTAAATTGGGCCTGTGTTTGGGCTGGACTTATTTAAATGTATGGTTGGTTTTTTGGGTGGTTAATTTTTTGAATTTAAATTAAAAACCACTTTTTAGTTTTTTTTTTTCCTAAAGGGTTGCATCTTTTTATGAACCATCATAACCCATGATTGCACCCACCCAAAAAGACACCTTCCTACCTATAAATACCCCCCTTTGGATCATTTGCAAATCACTCCAATTCAGAATCCTTTTCTCTAATTCTGTATTCTTTCCTTCCTCTCTCTTCTTCTATAAGTGTCTGAGGGTTCGAACCTTAGTCTTTGGGTTCGAGCCTTAGTCAGTAACTCCGAGTCCGAATTCGAGTCAGAGAGTACTACACCGAGCAGATTCACCAATTCTTTTGATTTGCAGTGCTACTACCGAAGGAAGACAAGTCGTTATATCCTGGGAGATAAACGTCACTGAATCCGTTAACACCATAACGGGGCGAATCTGTCTTAAGGATATAGAATCAAATTCTAGCCTCGACTTTTAATCAAGTTCTTTTATTTTATAGTTTTTATTTTATTATATTAAATTATATATTATAAGAAATTATATATATAGATTATTATAAATAATAATTTATATATTATATTTTCAAATAATATTTAAATAAATAATACTATAATATATAATATACTTTGACCATATTTTTGGACAACACTTGGAATATAGGTTTCCAAACTGGTCTATTCGCACAAGAGAAAGTAAGTGAACAACAATCCAGAACCCACCAAACACAGCCCATTGTCTCTTCCCTTTCCATATCAATGTCAATATATAAACCTGCAAAGTGCAAACCAATAACACTCATGAAACTAAATAACCCATGAGTAGATATAAGAATAATGAAACTGTTCTCATAATAAAATGAATGTGACAATATATATATATAGAAAAGCCAGTTAATTAAATGGAAAAAATAAGCACCTAAACATAAAATAAATTAAAGAATAAAAAAAAAAAATTTAATCACTAAAGGACTTGTAGTCTAATACTTTAATCTCTCAAATAATGAGTATGAGTTTATTTTTAATTTTTTAAAAAAACAAATATATAAATAAATAGAAAAGCAAATCTAAACCGTATGTTTTCAATATAGATCATCACTATGTCCAAAACAATTCAAAATACTTTGTGTACGCCATTTTATCACAAAATACTAGTTTAGTTGCACTTCTATTGGTTAACTTAAATAACTATTTGGATTTAACTGCAACTGAACTTCACACCTTGAAACGTGCACATACATATTACGCGTTGTTGTATACCAGTAAAAACAAGGGCCTTGCGCGATGTCGCAAGTAAATATAATTAAAATCCTAATACAAATAGTGTTACATTTTTTATGGTGACATTTAAAAGAGTTTAATTTTAAAAGAAGAAAAAAAATATTTAAAAAGAATATGTAACAGCATATTGCATGCGTGGAATTAAATTCTTGATCAACTATGATTTATCAACGTATACATACATATATACACACACAAATAAGCATTGCAAAATCGTGACCTCGTACTTATACGTTAATCTTTAAAGAATTTAGTTGAAAGTTTATTATGCTCTTTTCTTTTCTTTTCTTTTTTTGTACGTAAAAGATAATCCTTTAAGTGGCACTTTTTTCTTTTCTTTTCCCTATACCATCCTGGAACGCCCACCCCACCCCGGCGATTTTGAAAAACCAATTATGTAAATCGAGGCGGGGATGTGAGCTGCTTTGAAAAACTTTGCAGATTTTGAGGCAGTTTCAGGGATGATTGTCCCGCCCCACCCTCATATATTATAAATTTATTAAATTATCCTTACATACTATATATATTATTAAAATAGATTAAGTATATGTATTAGGGATGACAAGAATTCCCACTCCCGCGGGCCAGGCCCCACCCAATTTGAGAAGATTTTGAAGAACAGATTTTGTAAATGGGGGTTGCTTTATAAAACCCTTCAAGTTTAGGGACTGTTAAAAAATTAAACCGGGATACGGATGCGAAATGAAATTCCCACCCTAAGCCGGCCCATTATCATCCCTACTCCAACCCTTGCCCGAAGGAATGAAAGTTTAAACAAACTCAGTTGAAGAAAGGTGAACCGGTACTTTTTGGTTTCAAGTTCAACAACCGTTTCTTTCTTGTCTCTTTTGATTTCAATTTTAGCAATTTCTCTCTATTGTGTCTTTGTTTGACTACCATTTTTTTTTCGTTGTTTTTTTTGGTTTCAAATTGAACAACTCTCTCACCCACTTCCTACATTACTTATTTCTTTTTGTTTCTCTCACAAACGTCTCTCCATCTCTCTTCTTCTTCTTTTCCTTTTTAATACTTTGTGCAATAAATAAATAAATATATATATATATATATATAAAATATTAGAGTGTCTCTCTCACTTTCTCGTAAAGATATACGTAACGAGTGTCTCTTACTTTTTCGTAAAGATATATATATATATATATATATATTTTCTTTTTTTTCTTTTTCCCATTTGGTCTCTTTCACAAAGGTCTCTTACCCTCTCATATAGAACTCTTCTCTCTCTTTTTTGTCTTTGTTTTTTTTAACCCTTGGTACTTTGTACATCAATTTTTTTTTCTTGTGGACTCTCTCTAACACAAACTTCTCTCTCTATCTCTTATATAAATTACCTATTACTCATATTATCCTATGAAATTATAATATAAAGTAATAATTAACCATTAGTTATTTAATACAAAAAGACATCGAGCTTTAACATATATTTCATGATATTTAAGAGAAAATTTCGTAGAGTTGCAAAAATTTTCAAGTTGAATAAAACTCCTAGAGTGTATATAAATCCAGTAAATATGAAAAAATGAACAAATAAGGGCTTTAAATTATTATTTCGTTATAAAATTGGTCATGTACACACTACATCTACCCTAGTGACATTACCACGGAAAAAAATAATAGAGGATCATCAACTAACACTCATCATTTGTTGCTAAATAACAAGGAAAAGACCGTAAATGTTTAGATGATGTTCATCATTTGTAGAATACCATTCTCCAAGGAAAAGAGGACACGATCCATGCATCAGAGTTATTCGGTGCATAATCTTATACACTTGCGTTGCTCACAAAACCTGACACAATTCTGTGTGCCTCGCAAAGTATCCACTGGCAACCGGAAATTGGTATTATGGCGAAGCTGATGAAAAAGATCATGCATATAGCAAAATACTGTTTCCGCTTTCGTTGCCTTGACCTGATGGCATCTAAACCTCGTTGCATATCACTATGAGATCCTCGCTGTAGCCGAGTCACAGAATTTGAAGAAGATACCACTCTTGGTTTTTTAAATTTATTATAGACCAGATTATTTTCATCTTGTGTCGCTGAACTCTTTAGGTACTCCTTATCAACCATGTATATTGCGACCAGATAAGGTGAGGCTGCTACCCCAGAGATGAGCATGGGAACCATGCATTCCTACACGTTGACCCATTCGATACCGCAGTGAATGTAACTTCCTGGATCAGAAGGTAAAATTTGGCAAGTTGAATAGCCAATGTCTGGAGATGCCGGATTTTCTTCTCCTCGATAATTTTTTCCCACCTCTCTCTGTCGGGGTCATTTTTGTCCACACCCTGCCCAAAAAAGAGATCTAATAAGGACGAATTAATTTAAAATAATCGACTGAAGTTGTAAGATATTTTTAGTGTTCTAATCAAATCAGCATGTCACTTAAAAGGTACTCTGCAAAATGCTTAAGAATTAGGCACTAAAAGTCTAATTGAATTGAAGAATACAAAACCAAAGAAACATCCAAACAAGTAAAAAAATGCATATAGAATTGACGATGATGAAGAACAAGTACAATATATAATACAATAGAGAAAAATATGAGAACGAAAAATAATCCATATGACACAACACGGCATTACACAGATATGTTTTAACACTAGTGACCTTATGCTAGATTAAATAATAATCTTCAGACAAATTGACTAACCTTAGTAAGGGTCCCAGATGCTGTAATGGCACCAATCATTAGCGACACTAACTAATATTATGATGTTGTTATCATTGGCAGAAACAGCCAATAATGTGCCCTCCCTATTGCAACAGATTGCTGGCGTTGCCTAAGAATCAAAAATGAAAAAAGCAACTTAGACCAAACTTCTTTCCTCCACCATCAAGCTTAAAATAAGAAATGAAATCTAAAAAATAACACTACAAAAACTTACAGGTAGGTTTCCACCCGCATCAGAAGTCATCCAGAGATCACTATTGTTCATGTCCCAAAATTTTATCAAATTAGAATCACCTACTACCAAGTACTTATTCTTAATTGTATCAAAATTCACGATACCCTTGGACCAACCATGAAATCCTCGGTAGGTCCGCTTCACAACACGTTCTTGTAAATTCCATTCAAAAAAATGTGTCACACCAGATTTGCCTAAGCGACATGAAAAAAGCCTGCAATGTTGAGAATCACATTGGTGACAAGTATTTTGTAAACATATGAGAGAGATAATATATTTTTAACTACCTTTTCCCATCAGCACTGAAGGCTAGTGTTGACAACAATCCGTGTGCCCTCGGCTTGAAATTCCTTATATGACCAGAGGGTAATCTTTCCATCCGTTGAAGTTGAAAGTATAATCTAAGATGTGCGAAGAGTGCAGAATGTCAAAAAGACTAAAAATAACTTTATTATTATGGAAGCAAGAAATATAGAAGGGAAATTGGGTCCTTACATGAACTTCCCTTATACTCGAATAGACACAATAAACAGGCTCCTCATGCCTTCAAAAGCCATCAACATTATAGCAGTATCCACATCCCACACCTATAATTACATGTAAATTAGTAAATGCCTCTATGTTTTAGGCAACAATATAAAGAATTGACAAAAAAAAATTAATTAACCTTTATGGTATAATCACCGCTGGTGATGACCAGAAGTTTGTTATCGGGATGGAAAAATGTAATATCTTGTACCTTGCCGATGTGATAATCGATCTAGATTCGTGTCAAAAGCAAGAAAATAAAAGGAAAACATGGATGATGGAGACAATATATCAAAATTTACCTCCTGATGTTGTTGGACACCCTTTTTACCAAAATAAGAAGACAAGTGACAGATGTGTTTAGAATCTGAAACTCCTGTTAAGGTTAAGGAAACAACAAAAAGGAAGAAATATTAGGTTGATTAGCAGTATAATGATTAAAATATAATTAAAATCTTATACCAAAGACATGCAGAAAAATAGGATTATTGAGCTAACCAAATTTTAAACCGTCAAGGCAATAAAGAAGACTGAAATTCCATAGTGATAGTTTAGATTGCATATTTTATTTTGTCACTTAGTATAATATTAGCATACTTTTGTTTTTGTTGAAAGTAAACCGACATTCCAGGGCTGAAATTTTATCGAAAGCAGCTTCTCCCCAAATCAGCGTCCCACAACAAGGTGTCTCCCATATCGGTTCCAACTAATAGAAAAGTAACAGGAAGGAACAATTCAACATTCAAATCATCAGAAAAATACTTGAACAAAAAAGTAAAACTGACCTAGAAAGTAAGAGAACAGTGTCAGGAAGGAACAAATCAATATTCAACTCGTTAAAAAAATACTTGCACAAAAAAGTAAAACTGACCTAGAAGTAGAGCCGGTTGGTCAGGATGAAAATCCATGCTATTTGAAGTAGAGTCCTGACTCAATGACCTGACAACATTCATGGGTAATTCTCGCTTGACCACCGAACTACAACTTTCACCAGAGTACAAGAGTATCAAAGCCAAAGCAAAATAATCAAATGTAAAATCTATATTACATCACCATAAAAAGTCAATCAAGTCCCATTCAATAAAATGTTTTGAAATTTACCAGAAAAAAAGGCCAAAATAAGATCTTCTGTCATTTTAAAACCAACATCACTTCCTAGATCCGATGCATGAAACAATCCAAAAGCTCACAACCCTATTGTTGGTTCCCAGTTGTCATACACTTTTGTGCCCTAACCATATATCTTTCTCTCTACATATCTTTCTCTCTACAAGTCCATATCTATAAAGTCGCCCATTCCAATATTAGTCAAGACGCTCAGAGAGCTTATTTTGTCCTAAGTTGGGTAATTCATATTGGTGGACTTTCTCTTCTTTGTTGTTTCAATTTCAACATTTCAGAAGCTTTGTCAATGCTCAAACTAAGTTAAATTAAAATTGCACAGTCTTCTTTTTCTTTTTCACAGATAAAATTAGGGCTTAGAGAGATGAAAAAGAAGAGAGCCCAAGTAGATGAATCATAAAACACACCATTGTTTCAAATTTTCAGGAACTGGAAAATAGTGTGTGAAGTGACCAAAGATTCTTGTAACTAAAAGAATTAGACACTATGCTCAATAGTATGTCTTCAACTCTAAATTTCCTTCAATTCTAAGTGTTTTGACTTAATTTGAGTGCATCAACATATTATCAACATCATCATTCGTCATCACTAGTCAACGTTGACATCAACATCCTCATCTAGAATCGTCATCTAGAATCACGTAATCCTCTTGCTTAGATATACATTTGATTAAGATAAACTGAAAATAGACTTTCTATCATAATTGGTCATTTTAAAACCAACATCACTACTACAACAGTAAGGGGATTTATATAATTCAATTAGCTAGGCAAAAAAAATATACCTTATTTCCTTTTTGCCAACTCCACCCATTCCCATCAACTCTCTTCTTTCAGAAAAGAGACCTATATTATTAAGACAAAAGAGAAAAAGTTTTATAATCGTTAATAAACTTGTAAAACACATATTCTGAAATTGAGAACTAAACTTCCAAGTCTTTAATTCCCATTAATAAATTGTTCGAGCATCACATCATAACAATATTATATATATGTATGTAGAAACAAAAATAAAAACAAAAAATCAGTATGTAAAACATGAATAAATAAACGTAACTAATAGCTAAAAATGCCAATTAAAATTTTAGAAAAAGAAAGAGTGTGTTACCGGATGACTGGGGAGACATGTTTCTTGAACCTTGTTCTTGTTAAATGTTAAGGCCCGATGCTAACCATAAAAATAAGAAAACACTCAAGTTGTGAGGAAGAGGTTTCACAATCTCACTCATAACAATTGAAACACCACCATCTAAGTACCATCTGTATCACGTATCAACCCAACCCAACTATGCTTTCAATCAAAATGTTGGACACCTATCCGTAGAAAGAGGTGTGATTACGGATAGGTGTGATTAACACATATTATACTCTCTTATGTTAAATTAATCCAATAACAAAATACAATGCATCAGTTTAGGAATAATCTTCAAAATTAACAAATCAATATCATGATATCTGCATTCTAATAACAAAAGAAAATCAAAAACCAAAATTTGAAAATAAAAATATGGCAAAAAGATTGAATATATCCTCCAGCATTACACAGATTGTATTTCAATGTGAAACAAAACATTATTAGTAAGGCGGATCCAGGATTTCTCAATGGGGTGGGCTAAATCAAAATATATCAACCAAAATCAACTGTTGTTTAATTCAATTTTAGTTAACTAACAATGTTTCTTTAGACAATTGACTGATTAAGGCATAGAAAATCCTATTTGGGTAACTAATAAAAAAAATACAAATTTATTTCACCACTCAGTACCCTATGTCTTCTTTGGACCAATTTACTAATCCTATTTGAGAATCTAGTAGTGGAAGCAGAGTGTGAGGTAGTTCACGGCAGAGGTAGTTCATGGCAAGCCCCTTCCAACACTATGGAATTAACTCAAAAGCATGCTTTTTGCAAGTATTTTAATTTTCAAGAAGTAACTTTAGAGCTTTACGTACTTCTGCTTGTCAAAGTTCTTGTTATGATTTTTTTTTTTTTTTAGTTCTGAAAAGATTTCCATCTTCAAAAGGCTTGGCATGTTGATAAAAATTGTTTCAGATTCAATCTCTGCAGATTTCTAATCCTATTCAGATTCTTTTTTTTTTTTTCTTTTTCTTTTTTCATGCCCAGATTCAAATTTTCTTGTAAACATAATTGACCAATATATATATATATATATATATATATATATATATATATATATATATATATCGAAATAAAATAAAATTAAATATATATATATTTGTTTTGCTGAAATAAAAGGTAGATTACGGTGATTACCTCCAAATGCAATGCAAATTTTGTTACTTTATATTGTAAAAAAATATACATTATATATAAAAAAAAAAAAATCATAAAAAATTTCACCAAATAGGATTTAGTTTGCAAAACAAGAATTACAGAGCTTGATTAGTTGATTTAGAAAAAAATTTAAAACAAAACCTATACATACAAGTTTGCAGTTGCAGAGAGAGGGGGGCAAGCTTGAGAGTTGAGAGACAGCGGCTGAAGCTTGCGAACGGCGAACAATCGATATGGGTTTTGAGCTTTTGATTCTTGCAGACAGATAGATAAACCGAATTATATGGGTTTTGAACTTCTGATTCTTGTAGATCTCGTAGTTTGCAGTTGCAGAGAGAGGGAGAGAGAGAGGGATAGTGTAAGTTCAGAGTTGAGAACGATAATAGAGATGGAGGCGATTGGGGAGGAAATGATTTGCCCTAAAAATATTCTGTTTT